AACAAAGGAAGGAACTTTGAGGTGCTTAGATCCTATGATAATGGATGAAGCTTTTAAATACTTGACCTGCGTAGTGGTATCAAACCAAGCCTAAAAGACAGCCTAAAACAATGGCTTGAAGCAGTTCCTACTCATTTGAAACAGAAGTTAACTTTGAAGCTGAATGAGAATGTTGCCAACAGTGTTCGTTATTTCACTGCCAAGGAAAAGGTGAATGATCACATGAGGACAATGTATTCGTCATGCTTCCTCATTTTGCAATGGGATCAAAACAAAACTACATTTTTGGAATCTGCATAAAAGTTATCTGAAGATGATCTTCCACTTGGTATCTGAAGGTGGGATTAACTCTACCAAATCTTAGATGCCTAGAGTTCTCGTACCTACATCTAAGTTATTCATCTGGTCTCCTTTAATATCACTTATCTCATCATAAATGTTAATGTTTAAAGTAAATTCCTATGAATTGTCCCCTGGAATTTCCTTTTCCCTCCTACAAACAGTGCGTAGATGACCAGCTCTGATCAGATGCTCACAGTGTAGCTCGTTAGGAGGCAGAACAAAGGACTTCAATGCTGAAAGACTTCAATCAGATACACCACTTTGTGCAACTGGAGATTTGTAGGTGGCAGAGAGCTTTTATCGGTTAATCGCTACTACTTTCTTTCACTTAACTACCTTCAATAAACAGCAGCTCTAACTGTCCCAGATAACAGCCTGCCAAGTCCCATCACTGAAGGAAAAAACTAAAACCAAACTTAATTTCAGATGAGTTATGTCTCAGGTCCCTGAGACCTGAAACAGAACGTATGTTTTAGGTGAACTCAGGAAAGAAAATAGTAAGTCTGGAACTGTTGTTTTAAATGAACGTAAGGGTGAGAATCAGAACCACTGCTTACTCTCAGCTTCACTAATTAGGTATTAGGCTGTTCTTTCCATCTCTATTTGTACTTTTTTTCTTTAGAAATGACGAAAACCAAAAACACTCTTGCTTTTTGTGAAGTAGGAGGGAACCTATATTTTGACAAATAATAGCCCTTTAGGAAACTCTTACTGCAGATATTATCAAATGCTAAAACAATGGCTTGACCCTCCCAGTGCTCCCCACAGAACACAAGTCTCTTCTTTGTATCTTTGAACATGTGACTGACTTACTTGCACGGTGAGATGCAATCCCTGTGCTTCACACTGCTCAGCAGGAGCCCAGTCTGAAACATCAGTAGAACATCCTGTCTGGCTGAGAGATGCATAAACACTACTCACTGAACTGGATTTAATCTGATGTTGATCTTCACACAGTTGGTGATAGCGTGTGTTTTTGTGTTTTAATGGCCATCCTGTTTATCTCATCTTTCTGACTTAAGGCCAAATCCTTCTGTTGAATAGGTGCATTATAAATACTAGCTGAAAATTAAACGACTGGATGGCTTAATGATTAAGCGTATGCATTACTCTAAGTGGCTGCAGAATTCTGCGTTATCCTCTCCATACAGTGCAGAATTTCTTGATTTTGCACCTGTTGTTCCTCCTGTTGAAGATTTGTGATAAAGGTTGAGCATTTTTGATGGACACCATAAGCATTTTACTAAAGGCCTATTTTTTCCTGAATGCACAGGCATACGCTTTTCACTGAATGCAGTACGAATTCTAAACTACTCAAGAGAAGAAGAAAAAATAAAACTTTGAATACGTACTCTTCAGACTTGGCATTCTATCCTCTTTGCCTTTGCAGAATACTATGTAAGTCTGAAATTTTCTACAGATAAAATGATTTATGGAAAAAGCTGTCCTGACATGTCACTAACAGCACACTTGAATTATATTGGCAATAATTTTATCTTTTTACGTATTTGGTAATTGAAACATGTACTACATGTGAGAACTGCTGAAGAACTGGTCTATTTTCAATAGTTTGTGATACAGGGAGTGAATATTTACTAGGTTGTTGTCTGGAGTTTCAGGTAGAGTTGCAGAAGGCGCTACTGACAGCCCAGAAAGGACAGGGTAAATTCCTACCTGAAATGGGCATTTGCTATATTGATTCAAAATCAGGCATAACCTGAGCATCACCATAGCAAGTGAATGGCAATCGACAAGAACAAATCAACAAGGACAAAACCAAGATGCTTCTCACATCTTAGTTCAAAATCTTTATTTCTCAGCTGATTCAGTCTCTGCTGATTTTTTTTTTCACTTTTGTTTCTGCTTTACTGTTATTTCTATTATTGTTTTTCTTGCTCATGAGCAACTGTCTTTCTTGTGATCATGCAGGGCACAAATAACAGAGCCATAAAAGTGGCCTGACTTTCAGGTATATGTTCAATATCATATATATATTATCTATAATATCAGGTATTTAATATACCAGGTATATATTTTTTCTTTCAACTAGTCTTTTTCTTAAAAAAGCAAACAAACAAGCAACAAAAACCCCACAACTCTTTGATTAAAATATTTGAAGACCAATATTTTTGTTGGGAATTATTTGGGATAAAAATGTATGGAAATCGAACTGTGGTTAAAATTGCCCATGTTCTGTTTGCAAAGCACATTTTCTATGGAAGGTGGAGATCGAAAATTATCTAACTCGGAAGAGTGACTCTTTATTGTTCTTGAGAACTATGAGGGAAATAGCTCAGATCTCTAGAGACCTTTCTCAAAAGGGAAGAGACTTAGCTTTTGACAGGAGCACAGTGTGCCGAAGAGAAAGTGGTACTAAATTTCCCTAGATGTCTACTTAAGACTTCTAGCAAGCTCCCTTAAAGGAAAGCCCCACCTACCCTAATGTTTGATAACATAAACCATGTTGTTCTGACAGTATAAATAGCTCAATAAGATAGAGAATACTGGAGGAACATACAAATTGACTACATCCGTCAGGTTTATAAAAATCATATGCATCAGAGAGACGGCGTTTGTGAGTCTCCATTCCCAACAATGTGAGGAGAAAGGGAAAACAGTCAATTCATACTAACTCAGGGAAAAACAACACTTACGAACTGTAAAATAGAATCCATTATGAAAATGTCCTGAAGCAGAAGTTGCACATAATATGTTCACAATGGTTTTAAAAAAAATCACATCCTTTACTTTTAAAAAGCTGGAGGAGTAATTGACAGTGTTTATGGGAAAACAGGGAAATGAAACAGTAACACATAAGTACTATATTGAAAAACACAGGGAGAAATAATTAGTCTTATGTTTTGCTGAGCACCATCCAAAACAGAAAGAAAAAAAAGCCACGCGGTTCTTGCTGCAAGCACATTTGTCCATATACCATAGAGGTCACAGCCCCCCATTCACAAAGGGGGCTGAGGTGATCTGAGGAGTCTACGTAACAGAAATATATGTAAGTGCTTGTAGAACCATGACCTGTCTGATCAGCCACACTAAGTCTCAGTCTTGGATTTTGCCCTTGTTTATTTCTATGCAACTGAAAAGTTTAATTAGGTTAATCATTGTTGGCAAGCATACTGAAGATCGAATCTGGTTCCAAAAAGGGTTTGATCTGTCTGAACTATTCAAACAGTTACCTGGTGCTGGGTGAAGCCAAACTTACTGTAAGAAAGCTCAGCAAGATTTGGAGAACAGCCTTGGGACAGAGGTACCGGAGGATGCTGGGTGTTAGCTTCTGCTTGTTAAATTGTTTGGGATATATTTGGGGCTTTTCACAGAGAATAAAACTTGATCCCTGGGGGAACGCGTTTTTCCCCAGTTGCCCAAAAGTCCTCTTTGCTTTGACAATTCTTATACATTTTATACAGCTGTACTAAGTTTTTGTTACGGGCTTTTAGTTTTTCTGTATTCTGCTGCTCTTGTATATGTACGTACCATTTCTTTGTGCTTGACCTGGATGGCCATGTTAAAAAGACAAACCACAGGGTCATAGAGTGGCTTGGGTTGGAAGGGACTATAAAGATCATATAATTCCAACTTTCCTGCTGTGGGCAGGGCTGCCACCCCCCACCTCAGCTGCCCAGGGCCCCATCCAACCTGGCTTCGAGCACCTCCAGGGATGGGGCACCCACAGCTTCTCTGGGCAACAGAGGGAGTGTGCAGCAAGATCTGTGCCTCTATAAAACGTGGATCATTAGGATCATAACTGTATTTTTAACTATTTTTAAATTAGCTTCTTTTAAAGCAATTCGGAGGACACAGAGTACGCAGGCTTAGGAATTCAAAGGCCAATTAATTCCAAAAGCCAGTCATTCGTAAAGAAGACACCTACTCGGCGTGTGTTATGACTTGGGCTTTCGTTACATCGTTACATCATCGTGTGGCTCACTTTCTTCAGCTCCTGCTTTCCACGTGGAGAGCGGCCGAGGAATTTGCGCAAAACAAGGCACGGTCTGTGAAGCCGAGCTGTATTTTGGAACGAGGTTTGTTTCCATCGTGGCCACGGGCTTGTAGGAGGAAGTAGGACACCGAGAGACAAAACAGAGAAACAGCAAAGGTGGGATTATTACTTTCCCCTCAGCGCACGGGAAGGGTGAGGGCGGCGGGACACCGCCGGGTGGAACTGCCCATTCCCGCGAGGAGCCAGCCAGGCTCGGGAGCGCGGCCAGGGGCTTGTTTACTCCCCGTCCCGCTCCGTCCCCACCCGTTCCCCAGCAGCGGCGCGGCGGGGCCGTCAGCGGCCTCGCGTCCACCTCCAGAGGGGCGGCGGCACCGGCGCTCGTCGCCGCCGCTGACACGGCGCGGCACCGCCCCACCCCTTGCGCTAGGGGGGCGGGGAGGGGGGGACACAAGGGAAGGGAGGCCACGCTCCCCGCCCTCAGCCAATGGGAGCGGGGGATGCCTCCTCGCGCCGCTGACGCCCCCGCGGGAGCCCCCCTTTTAAAATAAAGCGGCGGCCGCGGGGCGGGAAGGGCAGCGCCGAGGAGGAAGGGGTGCGCGCGCGCGAGCGAGCACAGAAGCGCCGCGGGTATGCGCGCAGCTCCCGCGGGCAGCGGCTGAGGCGGGCGGGGGGCTGCCGGGAGAACTGAGCGGCGCGGCTGAGGATGGCGCCGGCGAGCGAGCGGCCGCCGCCGCGGGACGACGGGGGTCCCGCGGCCGCCTCCGGCTCTCCGATGGAAGCGCGGCGGGAGAACGGCGGAGAGCGGTGCGCGGGAGACGAGAGCGCGGCCGTACCGCGGGTGGCGGCCGGGGGCGACGCGGCCGAGCCCCCCGAGGGCGGCTGGGGCTGGGTGGTGATGCTGGCCGCCATGTGGTGCAACGGCGCCGTCTTCGGCATCCAGAACTCGTGCGGGGTCCTCTTCGTCTCCATGCTGCAGCTCTTCGGCGGCGGGCAGGACAAGCAGATGGCCTTTAAAACAGGTGAGGGGCTGCGGGGCCGCTCCTGGCCGAAGCGGCGTGCCCGGGGCTGCGGGCATGGGGCCGGGGCCGGGCTCTCGGCGCCCGAGGTGGGGCTGCGGGAGAGGAGCAGGTGCGCTCCGCGGCGGTATTTTTAGCTGTCTGGCACCGCGTGTCGTGGGGAAATAAAGGCGTGAATGGTGCTTACGAAGCTCAGTGCGAATAGCAGCACGCTCAAATCTCCCCTCTGCCAGTACTGATCTTAGTCGCTCTCGCCGCGTGTGTATGCGTGAAGTCAAAGGCAGCTGTGTATTGCACACGTGTTCTTCTTGGAAAGTGTTTTGTGCTTTGTGCAAGCTGAGGACAGGAGGGTTTTGGCTCTCCAATTTTAGCGAGTGGGTAATTATGACAGCTTTAATGACAAATAACCATGAAGTTGGCTTATTTAGAACATAACTTAAAACATCAAAAAAAAAAAAAAAAAAAAAAGCAACACAAAAAAACGTTTGTTATTTTATCTGTTTCTTGCTTAAAAAGTACAGCGGTTACCCAGCCCTGCAGAAGGGTAAACCTTCCAGGAAACTTCTGCAGCTCGGAGAGTTTTTAAATGCGCTTTGAAAACTCTTTGTCAATATTAAGATCAACTGGGCCTAATGTTGAGAAGTAAGAGGAAAAACAAAGCTAATTCACCTCCAAATCCCCATCTCAGTAACAGTGTTTCCAAGGCAAGTGTTCTGACTGAGCTGAGTGAGAATGCTACTGTGGAGCTATGTGTGGCACTCTCGTGTTTAAACTTTGTGATCATGGGTAAGGTATGGAGCTCTGAAGTTCTTCAGCTGGAAGTATGAAGTGCTGCTGATGTCCAGCATGAGGCACTTGATGTCCAGATGTATTTCAGAGAAGGGAAACAGATACTTGGAGCCAGATGCCCGAGCTGCACAGACTGCATGAGGAGTAAACAGGGTTGTGCAGAGGAGGTGCTGGGAACACTTGCAGGATGAGCTGAAAGCCACTCAAGTTAGAAATGAGGAATCACACAGGTGTCTGCTATTCTATCTGTTTGTGGAACAGAGATATAGGTTTGGTTGTTTTCTGAGGGTCTGGTTCTCTAGTAACCCAGGATAGGATTCTTTTGCTTAAAAATGTGACTGTTTAGATAATGGTGTACTAGTCAAAATAGTCAACGAGAGGAGGCTTGGAGTAATCTTCTACTTCCAGATGGCTAAATGCACCACTGGTCTTAAAGTGAGATGAGATTGGGAGTGTTCTCCACCCATATTTTTGAAACTTTGCTCAGCTTCAGAAAATTGTGGAGGGAGACTTAAAAAAAGGGACCTAGCTGTGTAGCTATGTTCTTTTGCAGCCTGCTTTGGAAAGGAGGCTAAGTTCTGAGACTGGGGAGATGCAGACACCACACCCTGTATTAATTCTTTCTTCATTTTATTTAAGAAGTAAAAGTTACAGCTGATGTTTATTTGTGATCTGATGTAGTATGGTTTGGGTGATGCTGAAGGTACTCTGTTGTTGTTGTGCTTTAGGTTTAGGTCCAGGGGAAATTGCATCAAACAGCTGCCTTGACTAGATGACCTATGTGCGTGTGATAGAGAGGGGCTGCAAATACAGAAGTGTCTCCTTTAAACAGCACAACTGCAGCTGAAAGGGTGCTCTTTCTTTTAATATCTGAAAGCACCCTAAATCTCCTGAAGAACTGAGCAGCAGCTGTCATACAGGGCTTTTTGTTCCTTAATTCTTCATTGTCTGCTGTTTGTGATCTTGTCTGAAATAAGAGCAAGACTCAAGTGAAATCATGATGTGGTATCAGAAATGGCAGAATGCATTTAGTGTAGTTCTCATTGAACACTGATGGATTAGCTGACATGCTGTAGGGAGGGAAAAGGATGACTAATGGATAAAGTCAGTGTGACTTCAGTGTTAGAGGAAAACCCTAGTCCCATAGTTTTGATCATGGCACATAATCTGGTTAGTTTCTTGTTCAAACTAACTGCCACTTAAAACTGGCAGTGGCAGGTAAACATTTAATGAATCTGAGAACAGTGAAAATTTCCTTGCTGTATGTTTTTTTTCTTTGGAATATAAAGCTTAATATTCTAGTTATTCTAAGAGGAGGGGGGAAAAAAAAGATTTTTGCAATCTGAAAAGCTGATTTTTTTCGGAGGCATGAACGTTCCAGATAATCACTCCTGGGACTCAGGTGTTTGTGGAATCTGTTAATTTAACCATAGCAGTGCAGAATTAAACTTTTCTTCTCATTACAGATTTACTTAGATGTTGCCAGAAACATAGGTGTCACTTAAGCTTTTTGTATGAGATCAGCCAGTGGTTGTACATTGCTTCATGTTTTCCTTGCAGAGAGGAGTTGACTAGACTATAGTGCATGGTGTATGTTTGTTATTTCTTTAAGGGATGGATATTTGTGTGTGAAAGGCAAAATAGGGGAAGGCAGAAGGGAGGAGGGTGTAGCCAAGAAGCTGTTCTGCCTGGTAGATAAGGAGTCAGAGGAGCCAAATCTGCAGGTGGGGCAGCCGGCCTATCTCTAGAGTGCAGGATGGACGCTGGCTAAATGGGATGAGTAACTACAACTACCAATGTTACTGCATTTGGAATGGTTGTTGAAAGAGCTCCTGTTGTGTAGAGCCCACAGACTTAGGGGACCAACTGATTCCAACTCCTGTTTTGATCAAAATCTTTGAATGTAATTTGTATACAGTATTAATTGTATTACTTATAGGCTAGGATACCAAGAACTTCTATAATGCACTGCTGGTTTCCTTTCTTAGTTTCAAAGCTAATCGATGTACAGCTACAGAAGAGAAGTGTTCCTAATGCTAAGTGTAAAACTTATGGAAAAATATGCCTGCTGTCTCAGGAAAGCAGCCCATACATTGCTCATTGTGCTTGAGAAACAAGTTGGGTGGAAAAACACAATGGCAGTGAAAGGCATGTCTTGATAATCCCGTAGGCCCTTACTTTTTCTTGTCTTAGAAATTGATGTCAGAACAAGGTTTACATTTAAAAATTTGGTGTGTAGGATACTTGAGGATGGTCTAACCAATAAGTGAAGTGATCTGCAGACATCTCTTCATTGGCTCAGGGCAATGAATAGACTATGTGGACATCAGAACAGCTTATTTAGTTTAGTCATTGACAGTACTTTCTTTTTGTTGAACCTCCAGTTCTGTGGTATGGAACACTTAAACTCATGTTGAACTTGGTCATTTCTTCATTTCAGATTTGTGGTCTGTCCTTCATACTTGAGTAAAAGATATGCATTTACACCTGCTAACTATAACATATCATGCAGTACAGCATAAGGGTTCTGCTTGCAGATGTTTGTGTCCATTTCCAGTGGAGTTTTTTAGTGGAGTTATGAGTTAGTAGCTGATTTAGGACTTTAAACAGGGGATGTCCTTTTATTTTTGTGATCCTGGTCTGGTGGGATGTGTCCCTGCCTGTATCAGCAGGGTTGGAACTAGATGATCTTAAAGGCCAACCCAAACCATTCTATGATTCCATCATCTTTAGAAGTAGGAGTTTAATTTCATGTATGTGGCTTTTGTAGAAGCCTAAAGGTGACTGGCTTCTGTAACAACTCTGCACATTAAATCTTTCTGGAAAGATTGCCTGCTGTACAATCTTTCCTGCAGCTACGTTAATCTAGTTACATGCATTGAAGTAAATAATGGACTATTTTAACCTCATGTTCAATTTCGGTTTACAGAAACTTCTAAACATTTCTCTTATTTTTTTTATTTGTAAGAGAAATTAGTGTTAAAACTATTTTTTTTCAGTGTTATCCTTTGTAATGTTTGTACCAAGCACTCTGATTTCTAATCCAAATAAGAAGCAGCAGAGTATGGCTAGGTAGAGGGGGAGGGGGGAAATCTGGACAAAAAAAATCCATCTTGATTTGATATCTAAGTAGCAGAGGGATTTCTTTCTCATCTTAATTTTGAGCACACCTTATATAAATGGTTTGCTGGTCTGTGATCTGACAGCTTAGTTTTAGATGAAGTTATTTATGTCTGGCGTGTGTTTTCACATAGGTCTCCCAATGTCTTTTCCTTGGATAAACCTTCCAACTCTTTCATGTGAAATACTTCTTTTCATGCTATTAGTTACTGTTCCTTCTTTGGCATTGTTCAGTTCTTCTACAGCATTTTGTGATATGGAGAAGGAAGGTAGAGTTTCATATTCCAAATGATACTTCACAATTTGATGGTGTGATTTGTATTGCAGTTTTGTAATGTAAGTTATGATGAAACTGTGCCATCCATTCTGCAATATTTGTATAAACTAATATTTTGCTTGGCTGCTTTTTGTTAATACCTGCATGCAGTGCAGTTTAGACAGTGGACTTTGAAGGAAACTGGAAAGCTTCGTTTTCAACTTTGTTTTGATTAATTGGTCCCAGTAGTCTGCTTGTCGTCATTCATCCATTTTGGTTTGTGTTCTTTGTTCCTAAAATCCCTTCCTGATTTGAGGTAGCCTGAATAACTGCTGTCTAAAGAGGAAGTTAGCAAAACTTGTGCTTATTAATAGACCCTCTTGCTAGACTCAGCAAGATGTAGCAGTGCTTAGTGTTGTTTGCCTAACCATAGTGATGATTCTTTTTACTATGAATCCAGAGGCAAAGCAGGCTTGGTTTTCCAATAGTGCTAATTCTTTTTTCTCATGATTTGATTTCTTAAGCTTGTTGTGCAGCAGTATTGTTAGACTTAAATTTTTTTACGTTTAAATGTTGGGCTCTTTTTCCTTTATTTATGTACTTGTTTTGCATGGATAAATGTAGTGGACTATTCTCAAGCTGCGTTATGTCATGTTTTAAAATGTGTCTGCTCTTTAGCCAGTTTGAGTTAATCCAGTAACTTCAGATAATCAAAAGATATTTGAGTTTAGAACAGACCTCTAGGAATTGGCTGCTGCAGGCTGCCTGGAGCTGTGCCTGGATGGATTTTTCACCGTCTCTGAGGTGAGGCTCCACAGCTTCAGCAGGCAGTTCCTGG